CCCCCCCCCCCCCCCCCCCCGCCCCCCCCCCCCCCCCCCCCCCCCCCCCGCAACAGGCCTGGCTCGCTCAGCAGGAAGGAACTCCTTGTGGGCGGGGCTAGGTCCTATTATATCTATATCCTAACATCGAATCTCAACCTGACCCCCCACCCCCTGCAGTGTTGCATTTGTTGTTGCTGTTCCTGGTGGTTATGCTCAAGCATAAGCCTGGGTTGCTCGAGGCTGCCCTTCATGCCCATGTAAATGGGACTTTACTTGTAGATAAATGTGAGGCAAAGAGACAATGAACTTGCCAGGCTGGATTGCCCATAGCGCATAGGGTACCTGGCTCAGGGCATTGCTGAAAATTCAATTCCCAAAATGAAAAATTAGAAAGCTGCTTTCTTGTGACTGATTCTCAAGCAGACCCACAGATTCATAAATCAGTGGCTACACAGCTGCACCTTGTTTTTCAGTGAGATTCTTGTTTTCAGTAAAGGACATCATCTAAGAGGTAAGTGACACTTGCATGCCGCTCCCCCACCATCTCCACCATGGGACAAAATCCAGTGATTTTAATTTTGAATATAAGAAGTATTCCAGGCACAGTGGCTCATGCTTGTAATCCCAGCACTTTGGGAGGCACAGGCTGGTGGATCACCTGAGGTCAAGGAGTTTGAGACCAGCCTGGCCAACATGGTGAAACCCTGTCTCGACTAAAAGTACAAAAATTAGCCAGGCATGGTGGTGGGTGCCCATAATCCCAGCTACTTGGGAGGCTGAGGCAGGAGAACCCCTTGAATCCAGGAGGCAGAGGTTGCAGCGAGCTGAGATTGCATCATTGCATTCCAGCTTGGGTGACAGAGCGAGACTCCATCTCAAAAAACAAAAAAACAACTGGTCTGTAAACATTACTTTTCTCCACTCAACCTTTATGATCAACAAGGCTGTTTCCTCTGCCCTGTGAACACCTTTGGGCAGGCAGGCACCACATGCTTTAGGCTTTAAAAAGTGTCACCAGGTCCTCAAATTCATTCAAATGATCTCAAATTGCCCAATCCTAAGCTGGCTCCAAAGAGCTATTTTGCATTTACTTCTGACATATGGCAGCTTCCTCATGACTCAGCCCCGATGTTCATGAGAATTTCCCTTTGTAGTTCTGTGCACAGCAGCGGCTACTGATCCTCAGCTGTCTGCTGTCCTCAGCTAATGGCCGCTGCCTTCTAGCCCTTTCTGAAGCTTGGGCTACACCCGAGAATCACCACCTCCCGAGTGCCCAGGCAGCTCTGGTTTGTTTCATCTCTGCGTTTCTGGGTACATGTGATTTGTTGTAGGAACCCCCAAGGAAGGTCCGGGCTCAGCCAACCTCCCAACAGAGCTCCAGCCACCTTCTCTTCCTGAGGGAAGTAAAGAGTAGCTAAGCCCCGGGGCCGGGGAAGAGGACAGCAGCTTCCTGGGCTGTAAGTGGTGGGTCCAAGAGCTGGGAGCTGTGTGGCACTAGCCTCAGTGCCTCTAACTGGCTGAGGGCTTTCCCCTGGGGAACTGGTCCTGCCAGTCATTTTCAGTGGACTCTGTTTTGCTTCAAAGTTCATCCTAGCTGGAAGGGCCCTTGACATTTAGGCTAAAAGTCTACATTTTCACGGCTACGCTGGCAGTGACAATTTGGCAGAGGGACCAGAGTTGCTTCACACATGTAGTGTGTGAAGGTATTGTGTGGTGAAGGTATTGTGAACGTGAAGGTATTGTGTGTGTGTGAAGGCACTGGGTGTGGTGAAGGTACTGTGTCATAAAGGTGCTGTGTGGTGAAGGTATTTTGTGTGGTGGAGATTCTGTATGAAGGTATTGTGTAGTGAAGGTACTGTGTGTGGTGAAGGCATTGTGTATGGTGAAGGTACTATGTGTGTGAAGGTACTGTGTGGTGAAGGTATTGTGTGTGGCGGAGATTGTGTGTGAAGGTATTGTGTAGCGAAGGTACTGTGTGTGTGAAGGTACTATGTGTGGTGAAGGTACTGTGTGTGGTGAAGGTATTGTGCATGGTGAAGGTAATGTGTGTGTGGTAAAGGTATTGTGCCTGGTGAAGGTATTGGGCATGGTGAATGTACTATGTGTGTGAAGGTACTGTGTGTGT